CTCTATGAACATGTAGCTACAATTTTCTTGACAACTTACATGACGTTATTGTGATTTTCTAATATATCCAAATATTAAGAAAGTGGAATCTTACCTAGAATTTTGTAATCAGCCAAGGTCAACTAGGAATCTATTTAGGAATGCCCTGGAGCTGAGTTCAAGTTTTACTTTCTTTCAGGCTTTTGTTTTACTTCCAGTTTCAGTTTACAACCTGAAATTCTTGGATGATCTCCCATCCAACTATGCTCAACACTGTTTATCTTCCCAGATTAGGTCAGCCACGGGATATCATATTCTTTGATCCTTTTTAGTATTCTTAAAAGAAATGATAATGGACATCAGAAACATATATCAGAAAATCATGTCTCAAGGCTCTGAGGGTAGAATTTCATCTGAATTTATGTGTGTAGTTTAAGATTCTATAATGTAAGATTTAAGATTTGTATGACAATGAATTGAAATAAAATCCATAAAATGGCAAGGTATTGTGGATTGTGTAAAGTTATGGTACAGTTTATTGCAAATTTGATTATACCACATTTTCAATAAATATAGTAGATTGCTGGATTTATTAGTTATTTCTTTAATGTCTGATCCAAAGAAGTGAAGAAGAAAATATGAACACATATAATGGATGTTATCACAAATTCTCTAAAGACCAAAAAGGGAAGATCTAGAAAGAACATTTCAACCAACATTTCAATTTTCAGAAAGCCTTTAGCTCTAAATCAGTATTTTTCATCTCTTCGTGAAAAATATGACATTGCTTCAACTTCTTATTTTTAAAAACTTTAATTCTAGGGTCCATAATGCTAAAAATTATAGATTATATGTATTTCCTTTAAACCCTATACAGAAGGGACTGTTGCATTTACTTTATATATAATTTCATAATTATGAAGCCTAACAAAGTAAAAATCATGATTCCTCTTATATTTATTAATATACCTCTGTCATGAAGATAGCTTATTAAAATAAATGAAATTATTCATTTTAATTATGTCACAAAACCTTTCCAATTCCAATGAACATACATACCTCTTAACCGTAGGCCTATATTTCCCTTCTAACTGCAAGCTCAAGCTCTTCTGAAACACTGAAATTTTACAATCTCTTTTGTTTTATTCAAGAATCATATCAAAATCTATTTTAAAAAAAATAAGAAATGATTAGCAAAAAGTATTGAGGTCAACAACTTGCTTATGTTTAAATATGTATCAATTACATATACTAAATGTAAACTATTTGATGGCTTTGTCTTCAAATTTTTTAGTCTGGTAGAGTCTTATTTTACTATGATCCATTCGATAACTGTTTTCTAATTAAAAAAAAAATCCTCAGCATCTCACATCGAAGATTTTGAATTATTATATGTTACATTTATATGTTACATAATTGAACACATATCACAGTATATTACCACAGCCATTCCATATTCCTTTACTACCTCTAAACCTTAATATGTCTGGTTTTAGAATCAGCACAGTATTGTGAAATCATTGTAATAATTATTGTTGCCTAATTCATAGGGATAATATCAACTTCTACTATTAGTCTGATTTTAATAGTGCGAATATATATCACTTGTTCAGGGGGAAGTCAAGGCAGAAAATGTTTAATTCTTTGGTGGCTATTGTTATTCAATCATTCCATTCTGTACTTTTCCTTTTTTCATTATTACAGTAAAATGAAAGGAACTGTGTGCATATAAGTATTTCTGCATTAAGTGGATTGTACAGTATTTGCAGATAGGAGAGTAATTAATTTTATCAATTGATTTTATAGATAATTTATCCTCAGCCCTTCTCTTCTTTTAGGGTTTAGGGTCTTTTCAGATCAACGAACACCATTGGTCCTAAATTGCTACAGGACGTGACCACACAGCTTGTTGCCAAGCCAATGTCAGTTTTTTTTTATTGATTCTTGATTCTTCCCCTTTCTAGATATGTCTCTTTATAGATTTACACACATACATACAGGACACCAAGTATAATGCAGACATAGATACATTTCTGGATGAAAGATATCTCTAAGTAGAGCTGATGACTCTAGGTAAACTGAATGAAGAATCTTGTATAAGATTTTGTTGGCATATATAATGATTTGGGAGTGGTGGTGGTTTACTTTGGGATATATATTATCTGTTTTTAATGTTCATACATAAAATAGATCATAGATTTCATCATACTGATTCCAATAGCAGATAGCTTCATAAAAACTATCTATGTATTTAGTTTTAACACATAGGCGCAGTTCACATTCTTATCCCAGAATAGCCAGTCAAGGAATCCTGATCCAGAAATGGGTTTGTATTTTAGGTTTCAATCTATAAATCAAATCAGTGTCCATTTGATTCTAATGAACAACATGCAGGAAAACTGGTTTTTTTTTCCAAAACAAGCTTTGCACTTCAGATTTTATTCTTTCCCTAAGGAATGCCATTCTTTCCTGAAATTTAGATGGAGGTAGGGATTTCTAAAAATACAAACATCCTCAGCAAGCTATTCACAAGATCATTTTGAGGAAGCCATAATAGTTCAAAGTGCTGTAAACTCATCAGGATCTGTTGACACAAGTGTTAGATCACTCTTACACCAGTTTAATGGTTGTGGCTTTTTCCAAAGAATGCTCTAAATTCTGTTTGCAATTCATGACTATAATAATGCCCCCTACAATTGTAATTCCTAGACTATTTTATAAAGAGGAAAATATTGCTAAATTTAACATTTAAAATTGGATATCAATTTGTTGTTTAGGAGATGTAAAACATAACAACTGAAAGTAAGAAGCATAGTGTTTTCTTTATTCTTAAAAAACTATGGGAAGGTTTCAAGGTATTATTTACATATAAAATAATAACTAGGATATTCAGATAGGATTGATTACAAAACTCCAGCTGGGAATCCTGGAATGCTATTGTCAGGCAACGCAGGTTCGGATATCACAAACATGGTTTATTTGATAAATCACAAGACATTGATTTTTCATGTTACACTGACAACTAGACTTTTCCATGTTATATACAGTTAGACTAAACCCTAAACCAAAACCAAATAAATTATATAATTCAGTCTTTGACTCCTGTCAATGTTGATATTACTGGGGTACATGGACCAATGATCTGACTAAGTACAAAGTAACTCCTAATGTTCCTTAAATTGATGCTTAAATTCATCATTGGATTGCTCAAAACTTTTGAAAAGGGTTTTGTTGGGACAAACTGTCCAAGAAGAAGAAGTGGCTTTCAATAAGATCACACTTTATTTTAGAAGAAACTAGACGGATGTTATTCATAATGATTAATGAATATCTATATGCAAACCTATGCAGCAACCAAAACAAGAAAAGAAAATGACAGCTACTTCAGAAAAAATTATTTTCATTATCCTTATAAATCACTCTCATGCTATTAGCTTTAGTTCAATACTGTTTATACAATAGTCAGTGTGATAATAGTTATACTGCCTCAATCTGAGCCCTTCTGGATATATTGCGTTATAATTGCTTTGTGCTACAAAGGAAAGGCTGTAGCCCCAAACATTTGTAGGGTTCCAAATCAAGAAAACTCCCTTGGATTAAATATGGGATAACCAGACTCAACTTCCTACTCTGCTCCTAGAGTAGTAGGCTTCCCAGGCTTTCCTTCAGATGAATTTGAATTATAATTCCCAGGATTCTCTGATTGTGTAAAGCCAAAATGGAAAACAAACTGGCTCAAATCACCCAGTAAAGTACAAGCTTGAATAGGGCCTTCAACCTTGCCAGTCCTAGTCTAATATTTGAACTTGTCATTTCAAATTATTAGACTGCAATTGTCAGATTTCCCTATTGGCCACAATGGAATTAAAACTAGCACATCTGAAGGCTGCCAAAAGCTGTTTTAACAGCCATGTAATAATGTCTCTGGATAACCATCAAGGCTGCTCTTGACATTTCACAGAACATTGAGAAATACATGTAATATTGCTGATTGTTTATAAGACTGCTACTTCAGATACAGTTGTAAATTGAGGAGGAGGAAAATCTGAAAATGGAGTATAAAATCACATAATACATATATTAATTGTAGAAGATCTCAGCATCAACCACTGCTTTCTTTTTTTTAAAATCTAGCTATTGAATCCTGTAAAATCTTTCTACTTACGGATTTGAGTTTGTTGAAAAACAAAGCTCCCTAACCTCAGTTTTAAAAAATACATATTTAAGATTTCAGCTAATACCCAAGTTAGAAAACTTTAAAACAAAATCAAGAAGAGCAACAACAAACCCACACCTCACCGTCTTTTTCCGAAGCATCTTCAACAAACACCCACACAAACATGTCAGACACCCGGAGTCTCTCTCCCCAATCTGCAGCGCAACCCGTTTCTCGCGAGTTGCTGCAAGAACATCTTCCTACAAGATCCCTTGTCACATAACTTACTCATCATGGAAACTTCCACTCTTTCCGTCCATGGTGGCTGCACTAAGTATGCCACAGACATTAAAAACAAACAAAAAACTATGTATACATTGGGCGGAGACAGCGACTTTTTTAAAATGCATTTTTAATAAAGTGAAAAACCATGCGATGACATACTCTGTCAAGAGCTAATGTGGAAAACCCCGATTCACTTCTCGGAAGGAAAAAAAGTGAAACACAGACAAACGCTCACGTACATTATCAGCGCGAGGAAAAGAAATCTGCAGTTTATCTCTTCCATCCCCGGCTGATTGATCGTGGCTGAAATACATAGAAATGAAAACAATTTCTTTCCGAAGAACGAGATCCCTGGAAATACGATTACTGACGTCCTGGACCATTTCCCTCTCCTGCCCTCCCTCGGCTAAGGTAGCCCCTCCAATGTGCGTTTCAGACGACCCCAGAGCAACCAGTTTCTAAAAATACCCCGTTTCCAAACATCTGCTATCGCATCTGCTCTCATTTCGGTCAAGTCCAGCTGGGAACTCCTGCCTAAAATCCAAGGAGATAAACCTGACACAACTACAAACCCACTCACCGAAAACAACTCCGCAGCCGGGATCAAGGGTTGTCGTTGCTGCCGCTCCGGCCTGTTTTCTTCCCTAATCGGTGCTTGTTAGTAAGGTGCCCGTACGCGTGAAGTGAGGTGTGGGAGAGACTCCTCCGTTTCCTTTTCGACCTCCCAGCCTGATGGCCAGCAGAAGCACCTAAATCAGTCCCACTTCCCAAGCCGGTTTTTCTGTCTCGGCGTTGATGACCTGGTTTCCCCTCGCGCCCCACCGGGAGCCGGAGGCGCAGAGGCAAGAAGACGCAACACCCGCCCAACCAGTGCAGAAAAGCTGGAGATGCGAGTACGCAAGGGGGAGAGAGGCGAGTGTAGTTCAGCCCAGCCCAGCCTAGCTCAGCCCAGCCTCAAAGGACGAAGGAGCCAGCCAACGTGGATCTAGCCCTCCGGGATACAAACGGCAGCCCCTTTATCTTTGCTAACCGACGTGCTCTTCTGTGTCGGTATGTTTCATCTTTCCTTTCTAGCACTCAAGCTTAGCAGACAGGAACTAAAGTTGACGCTCAACGCTGTAACACGCCTCGCCGGGAAGTGCTCGTTTCGCTCCCCAGCCTTTCACTTCCTTGGGATTGTTTTGGCAAGCTCCAGCATCATTTTTGTCGGAGAATAAATGCAGATTTGGAGATAGCCTCTCCAAGCGGAAGGAATCAACTGAAGAGGAGGCTACCTTCCTGCCCTAAGCAATTTATGTCTCCAGGTGGTCCGTTCAACTGGTGCCAAACTCCACCAAGGCAGGTTTCACTGGTGAGGTTGTTAGTTCAGCATTTCCACAATTCTCCAAAAAACCTGGACTGTTTAACTATGTATTTATTTGGCTAACAAAAGAGGGAACCTTCCACTCCCTAAGAAATTATGGTCAGGAGAAATAGAGTTTAAATTCCAACTTCAACTGTTATAATCTAGAAATTATCTAACCACAAAAACAACAATGGAAGCTCAATATACCCTTGTGTACCTTTCACAGGTATCTACTGTACTATAACACTGCCAAAACCTTTCATATTAATTTTTTTAAAGACAAGTTAACCATTACAGATACCACAATGTTGCTTTATGTGTACCCATTAAACTGATCTTAGCTATTCATTTAAATTGTTGTAAAATATTTCAGATTGAAAACAACTTTTAAAACACTTATTTTCACTCTTTTAAAATACTTAATACTTTTCAGTCTTAAAAACAATTACTTTAGGTACAGATTTAAATGACTGGCTGAAGTGTCTATTAAGTAATTGTAAGGTTTGATTCCAAAAATTCAGGTAGATTTATTAAATTTATATATCTTCCTCTTCCTATCCAAAGATAAGAGATGATAAGTAGCCCTACAACGTTGTTTTTGGTATTATTATCTTTTTCCTGTGAATGGTAGCATTAAACACAAACGACAGAATACATATCTAGTTTTTGTTTTGATGTGTAATGTTATCATCTATTAAATATTTCAGATACTATATTTAAAATAATATTTCAGCCCCGTGAGTCATAACACAAAGGGCCTCAAATCTACCACCAAATTACATATATTTTCTAAGTAAAATTAATATTACTCATATCATGTCAGCTGAAAATATCAGAAATAAAAACTGAATTATACACAATCTGGGGATCAGTAGTACATATAAAGGTGTGAGGAAAAGCTGTGGGCTTATTGTTTATTATTTAATCAATATTTAATAAACCATGTTTATTGTATGTAAATTCTTATTCAATTTATATAAAAGCAACAATCTTTACCTCCTATTCAAGAGGATGTCATCCTAAATTGTCTCCAAAGTACTTAAGTCTAAAAATTATATGCATAATATTTTTTCTTCCAATCTGAAATTTGATTTCTCTTTCCTTTATAAGTAGGACCCATATACTTACATTTGTTATCCAACCAAATTAAATGAATCAATATTTAATTCCCATTCAATGAGTTTGCTCCTTGAAAAAAGTATGATACGTTTAGGTAGCTTTCCATAAAGTTGTTCAAGGTTCAAAAATGATTAGGAAAAAAAGCCTCAGACTTCACAACAGAACAAATGCAGTGTTTCTATTCATTAAAGTACCCCAACATTTTTCAAGGTTTTGGATGAGACTCCAAAAAACCCCTTGCTCTTATACCAACAGCATCATTTAAAAAAGGGAAAAAGTTCTTAAAGAAACAGCATCCCCATATTTTCTTTATTTGTGTGCAGTCTAAAAAAGTCAGAGAGCCTTGATAAATAGCAGAAAGGTGTTTTGTTTATATAAACATGGAAGCACTTCTTCTGAATCATTTTTGAAATATGCACAGCCTTTGTTCCTTTTTGTGACAATAAATGTGAATGCTTTTAACTAAAGACTGAATCCTTTAATTATATGTGGATAGGTAGTTAGAAAGAGATTATAACATTGGACAAGTACTTTTATAAACAAAGCTTTGTTTTGTTTATATTATTAAACAAATCTTTAAAAATGTACAATATTTTTCAATTTATAATGAACAAAGGGTGAATCTACATCAGGTCACTTAGTCTTAGTTATTGGAGTTACATCCCATGACAACATATATAATTTCCCCTCATTTAATTTTCTCCTCACAACAATCTTGTGAGGCTGGTTGGGTTGAGAGTCATTTAGTGAGTTTCTGTGGCAGAATGAAAATTTCAGCTTGGATCTACCCACTCCTAGTCTAGCATTTTAACCACTATACCTCATTAGTGAAATTGATGGAATATTTTAGTAGTGAGTTAATCTAAATACCATTTATTTTAGTTCCTTAGTCTAAATCCTACCAAAGGAAAGATTAAAAACTAATAAGTTTCAAGCCATCAATTACTTTTATAAATGTGCTTATTCAATACTTTGGTATTTCCTAAAATACCAAACTAAATATGTCACTATCTATGTAATTTTGAAACAGAGCCATTGTTTCCAGTTTCTATAATTTTTAACTGGACTGATCTGACTGGATAAGCATCACCATAAGCATCCAGAACTTAAATGAATGTATAAACTGGAGAAGAGAAATGAGCTTCTATTTGAAGGTTCATAAAATGATCCCAAAATAAGAAATAGTTTAGAGGAAGAAGCTATTAATGTTCAAGCAAAACATCTGAATATATGTCTATCTAAATGGGACAAGTTTCAGGACTGTGAAAGAAACAGGAAAATGGACCAGGAGGCCCAGAGTTTCCACACTAACCTCTAAAGCCTGAGATGCATTTGGTTTAGGTTTAGGTTTAGGTTTATTGGGATTTATATGCCGCCCTTTTCCCTGAGGGGACTCAGGGCGGCTTACAACCACAGGGGAGGGGAAGTGCAAGGTCAAAACAAACACTTTGTGAACAAAAGAAAAATAATAAAACACAACTTTCATTCAGCAATCAAACACTCGGGCGGGTAATTGGAAGCCTATCCCCAGGCCTGCTGGGAGAGCCAGATCTTGAGGGCTGCGCGGAAGGTCTGGATCGTGGTGAGGGTGCGGATCTCCATGGGGAGCTCGTTCCATAGGGTCGGGGCAGCAACAGAAAAGGCTCTCCTCCGTGTGGTCGCCAGTCGACATTGACTGGCAGATGGAATTCGGAGGAGGCCCAGTCTGTGCGATCTGATTGGTCGATTTAGGGAGGTAATCGGCAGAAGGCGGTCTCTCAAGTACCCAGATCCACTACCATGGAGTGCTTTAAAGATGGTCATCATTATCCTGAAGCGCACCCGGAGACCAACAGGCAGCCAGTGCAGCTCGCGGAGGACAGGTGTAACGTGGGCGAACCGAGGTGCGCCCACTATCACTCGCGCGGCTGCATTTTGGACTAGCTGTAGTCGCCGGATGCACTTCAGGGGCAACCCCATGTAGAGCCCATTGCAGTATTCCAGTCTAGAGATCACAAGGGCTCGAGTGACTGTTGTGAGGGCCCCCCGATCTAGGTAGGGCCGCAACTGGCGGACCAGGCGAACCTGGGCAAATGCCCCCCTGGTCACAGCTGACAGCTGGTGGTCAAAAGTCAGCTGTGGATCCAGGAGGACTCCTAAGTTGCGGACCCTATCTGAGGGGTATAAAATTTGACCCCCCAGCCTAAGCGTTGGTGTATTAGCCAAATTATTGGGGGGGAAACACAACAGCCACTCGGTCTTATCCGGGTTGAGCACCAGTTTGTTAGCACTCATCCAGTCCTTAACGGCCTCCAGACCCCGGTTCATCACGTCCACCGCTTCATTGAGTTGGCACGGGGCGGACAGATACAATTGTGTATCGTCCGCATATTGATGGTATTTTATCCCGTGCCTCCGAATGATCTCGCCCAGCGGTTTCATGTATATGTTAAATAGTAGGGGGGATAGGACCGAACCCTGAGGTACTCCACATGTTAGGGGCCTCAGGGACGATCTCTGCCCCCCTACTAACACCGACTGCGACCTGTCCGAGAGGTAGGAGGAGAACCACCGCAAAACAGTGCCTCCCACTCCCACCTCCCGCAGTCGTCGCAGAAGGAGATATATTTGGAGATATATTGGTGGATTCTAGGAATGATAAAATACATCAAATATTAGTTTGGCAAAGAAATATGGATCTTGTTCCATAGCCTACAGACCTATCAAACCAGTCGTGGGTTTCAAAAATGTTTGGAGCCTTTTCTGTAGGTGTGGCCTGCTTTCTGGGTCCACTGGTGGAACCTCTTCTAACTAGTTCGGTAGATTTGATGAACCAGTTCTACCGAATAGGTGCGAACTGGTAGGAACCCACCTCTGTATCAAACTAAGCAAAACCAGCATTCATTTAGCAGCCACAGAATGTCAAGCCAATGTTAGGGTAATTTTAACATGGAAAAAAGGGAAAGCATGCTGGTAGAAGAGGATGTAAGAGATATCAATAAACTAATGATTTTTGACATCTAATATGACATCATTTCCAATGGTCTTTTAAATTATCTATTAGCAGCTTGACTATAATTAAAAATAAAGTATTTGAGGTAGCTATTAATAAAAATCGAATCCTTAATTATTTTTGGGCATCTTTGTGTATGTTGATATGTGTATATGGCCACAAACATATTATTTACATGACTGCTGATCTCAGAAGAACTGACCTAGTGTCTCTGGGCAACATAATAAAAAGATAAAAACACTATCATTTTTTTAAAAGAGCACATACTAGATATTTGATTTACAACAGAGTCATCTCAAGATCTCACCAGTTTCCCGAGATTCTTGGGCCTGATGACAAACCAGATCTTGAGAGACCTATGGAAAATAAAATGGGATAGAGCTGATCTTATTTTAGGGGCAGAGAAAATAGTGTTTTATAAGGTGGGCATCAGGCAGAATTCTTGGACCGTTGAGTGTAGTTGCCCAAGAAACAAGATAAAACAAGGTAAGAATCACAATTGGTAATCTCTCAAATAGTCCAGCCCCATGCCATGAAGAGTTTTAAAGGTCAAAACCAGCACTTCGAATTGCGAGACAGTCTGAAAACTAACGTAACTTGAGTAATTGCTGCTGTTTAAGATGCATACATAACTGTCTATGCCACTGCATTTTGCATTAGCTGAAGTACATTACTGCAATGCAGTCAGAAGGCACTAGGGATGAGTAATTAGAATATAGTCCCCCAAACCAGGAATAACTCTGCAAAAACCCTTCTAGCCATGACTGTCAAGTATTCTTTAAGCAGGAGTCATGAGGACAGAAGACCCTAAGATTGTGCACTAGTTTCATTTGTAGCCATCCAATTCCACCCAA